GGTTTTCCAATGGTTCTCTAACTAATGTCAGCTCATGATGAAATCCTCCATGCAATCAAACAAAATCCTTACAAAACCAATACTCCATAATCGAAACATTTATACATTCATTAGATGTTAGATTACTTTTCTACCCTTCTGTAGATTGCCTAAAAGATCCTATGAAAACTTGTCTCCTCGGAAGTTCTATATACTTCTATACGGTATCTTAGTATGAAGCAAATATGATGACTGAAGAACTTCTGTTCTGTGAAGATGTGAATTCCACATTTGCATCTGTCTGACATACAAGCAGAAATGAATTTCAACTGACTTTTCTTCCTATTTAAAAGTTGAAGTTGTTATGCATTCGAGATAAGGCTTTCAATGTGAACTGCATAGCATGCAGACACCTGGATAGATAGCAAAATGAACAGCTATTTCATAATGCTTTGATAGCTTACAGAAATTCAAATCCACTACTCTACTGGAAACCATAACCATACTAAATAGAGTTATGAAGAGAACATCACTGTCAATGGCCAATAGTTTCTCAAGCTTCTATAAACTTGTGATGTGTTACCATCATAGGGACGACGATGAAAGAAGTGGAAGGGAAAGAACATTTTGGGAAAAATATTTTACTCACTTATTAATGACTGTGATAACAATAGTATTACATTTGCAAAGTCATGAATTTCATCTGAGAACGTGTCATTGTCTGTGAATTTTCGACTAATTTCAACGCTGCAATACATCAAAATAGGTAGTTTGATTTGTTACAGCTGTATTGCAAGCAGAGAGGAAAAGGTGTTGCATTTACAAGATTTCGTATTTCGCATGTTTCAACAGGCTTTTTGTATCAGTATACTGCTTTACACCAACTGCATTAATTTCCATACTGCTCAGAAAGAAGCGTGTTTGTACATGTAAATTCAATAATAATTCACAACATGCTAACCGTTTTGAAAAGTTGATATTTACTGGAAACAGTAAGCTATATAGTCCCAGCATAGGTCTGACTAGTAATGAAAAGTTCTTGATTGCAGTTGTTTTATTGGTTAAACTTTAATAACATCTTTTTTTCGGCGAATATGAGGCATTTCCATCCAAAGAAATGGAATTCTTTTGTTCAGTATTAAAGTCTAAAATTTCGTTACTGAGGTCTTGTGGTCACGCTTTCTATCGTATAACAAAATTATTTCATTCTGCAACAAACTAACATTTGTACTAAACTAGTAAAAAGAAAAAAATGGCGAAATACGTGGAAAAATGTATAATATGTTGGTGGAAACTTATTATTCACAAGAACCAATGTAATGGTGCGCACAGGCATGCGTCAAGTTGAACAGCAAACAACAATTGTCTTTTTGTATGCCAGGATATTGGACTTTTAATACGTTTATTCTTAAATTATTTTCCAAGCCTTAAGGAGTTAAGATCTTCTCTGCATTTCTCCACTCTCTTAGACGCTTGATATTTTAAAATCCACAATATTTAACCAAATAAACTACCTAACATTTCATCTTATTAAAATGTTATAAATTCTATTGTTTTCTAAATTTGGAATACAGACAATTCATTCATTTTCAGTTTGCAAAATGACAGCCTAAGGATATATGCAGTGGCTGTTTTATTTTGTTGTCCATTGTATTAAAAGAAATTGGTATTTGTTGCAGAATGAAAGTGCAATTCATTCTGAAGAAAGAATTCTATAGACAAACAAAGAGCTTACCTACGGCTTCACGACTGCAAACGAATCCTAGCAGATTTCTTCCTGGTCAAATTTGAGAACGATATTTTGGATTAAGTAATTTGTAATTTGAGATCTGTGAACGACACAGTGACTTTATCATCGAGAAAAAAGACGATAGGATTATTTTGTAGCTATCTGTCTTCAGGATTGGTAAAAATGGTAAATTAAAAACAGAGGCATTTATGGCAGACGAACTCAAACAGGTCTTTTGAGTTTGCTTAATCTCTCTTACTCTTTGGTTTACATAGATGAAGCAATCAGATTAAAAGACTCTGATGGGAAAGCAATAGTTATCAAAATTCCAATATTTAGAGACGTGTTTTTGACAAAATATGAATCTGTCACCTAAATCTGTTTGTAGCTATAATAAATAGCTTTCCTTCAAACTAAAATTTCGTGTTAACATTATTTGCAAAGTCGTAACAACTGTTTAAATGTTGTTGTGAAAATAGTATTTATTACACCAGTGTTATTCTGCCCAGTCACAGCTTATTTCAGCAAAAAAAAAGGATAAATTATGAGTTTTTACTTCCTTCATATGTAGTTACCTTTTTTAATAGTCTGTTTTCTTTACACATTACATACTGTTTGCTTAATCAACCATGTTCATCGTACGAAATCCCAACATTAATCCGTATGCCTAGCCAATAGGCAAACAAAGTCACCTTGTGGCTTCGATCTGGTCATTTTACCGATGGTGAATACTAAGTTGACGTTAATAAAGCCTTTAAAGTTATTTACTATATTTCATCTAATCTTAATTTTGCTCTACAAAGTAGTGTTTGAAAATCCCAGCCCACAGACGAAATACTCAACTGTAATAGTAATAACTTAATAAATCACTATAGAAACTATTATACAAACATTGTTCAGGAGATTTCAAAAACATTCTAACACTCCAGTGCTGAAGAAAATGGAGGAAAAATACCTACTAATGGTCTTCGAAAAGAATGGAAATTTTCACAATTTCATCAAAAAGTCTTTAAAATCGAGTCACAACACCAAAAAGAAACCGTCATCAAAGACTACGTGAAAATTCGTTCTGCAATATATAAAAAATATCCCTGAAATAACAGCTAAAATAATGAAACCGTTTGAAATAGATATAGCACACAAGTTAGGCAAAACAAATCACTTCATTCAATATTGTGCAAACCGAAAGATCCAACAGAAAAAGAAGATGAAATCAATACCATTTGCAAAATAAATTGTATGAACTGTAACAGATATTACATAGGTCAAAGTGGAAGTCTAAGAACACAAACTAACCGTAAAATGACATGATATATAATCTTTCATATCAACGCATGTAGATAGCTATGGATACCAGCTTGATTGGGATAATGTCAAAATTTTAAATAGAGGAAACACCAAAAGTGCCAGAGAATTCCTAAAAGCCTAGTACTGAAGTGAATCAGCGATTAACAGACATATCAGTATAGACCAAATTTACCAACTAATAAGAAGTAAATCACGTGTTAAGAAAGTTCGAAATTCAAGTCAATAAAAATGATCACTACAGATGTAAATCGACCACCAGTCACGAAAATGGTTGCCAGAAGACATAATTATATCATCTATCATGGAGAATTCAAATCAGTTCATTTTAAGCTTAAACTTGCGGTGAAGACTTTGTCTAAAAGGATGACAAAAACTTGGCAATTAAATCAACAAGCTTAGAGAACACAGCTAATTCTAAAAGTAGTAGTCTTTCCATACAACAGAAGTGATCAAAATCCACTTGAATAAGTTGTACTTATGTGTTCAGGGGAATGTCCTATTGTCACTTTCTTTGTTACCGCTTTCTTCAAAACTTGATCAAGATAACTGTGTTCTCATCGTGAGCTTAATATTTCTACTCCTCATAATTCATCTTTCTTCACTTTCTATTATTATCATGTTATAACTTTGATCACTTATCTGTCTTTCTCAGTTTTTGGAACAGAATGAATGCAACCACTTGTTTTGACCTTTTGTGCATTTATCGTGTAGTTATTGCTGTAATTTCTCTGGTTATCTATCAGTCTTTTGATACGTTAATAATTTGATCGCTGATATAATTTTACGAAAATACTGGTAAGATATGCATTGCTAGAAAAGTGTCAGATATTAGTGCAGAGCCAGTGACGATGACCTGATTAAACATTATTTCTTGATTTATTTCTCTGATTTCTTGTGTTAGTATAAGTCTGAAAGAATCATCTAGTGCTTATAAATAACATACTGTTACACTCAGTTAGTTGACTGGATATTTATCAAAGAATCATCTCTCATCAACAGTGCATAACTAAGAAACATTTCTTGAAATATTTAAAACCTCGAATTTTACAGGTTGCAGACTTTCATCTATAGCCAACATCGCTCCATATTGAAGATCAAATGGCCTGAAAAGACTAACAAGAGGAAACTCTGAAAACCAACTAGCCAAGAACCATATGACTCAATAAATATGCAGGGGGATGTGGAGATGGATTGGATGCACGCTGAGGAGACTGTCGAATGACATCAAACACCAGATCACTACTCAGCTCGAACTCGAATGGGAAACGGCGAGTTTCGTCCATCGGTCTGAGGTTGACGTGGAGGAGACCGTGTGAGGAGAGGATGAGAGACTATGAGCAATCGTGGATTCAGCTAAAGGGATCCATATAGAATAGGAGAAAGTGGAGATGAGTTATTGTAGCCCCTTGTTCCAGCTGAAAAGCAAGGGAATAATAATGATAAAGTAAAATACGACCATTATAAATACCTATACCGTAGATGTTGCGGATTTCCCAGAATAATTTTTACAAAGGTACGTACGCGTTCAAAGTTTTGCAAATAAAAAGTTCGCTGCTTGTTGCTCCTCAAATTATTATATTTCAGGAGACTAGTTAGTATGCTACTGTTCAAGAATCACTATATTACTCATAAAAGTAAGGAAACTTTCTAATTTTTGAATATTTTCAATGTCACTGCCAATAACTTACATTCTTCATAGATGTAGGAGTTTGAGAGAAATGCAAACATCAAATCTGATGTCCGAACAAAATGAGTTAGTGAAAGTGGCGTTATTTCCAAACATTTGAAACCTGTGGAAAATGAAACTCTAAACACTGTCTCTGAGACATTTTTGATTTTTTCGATCGAACTATAAATGAAATATGTGTGACAGATGCATGATATTACTTGTCATCGAATGGAGTAAGCAAATATTCCTCTTACATCGGAAAAACAAATATTATTTCTTCTGCACATACATAGGAAAAGACATCTTGAACATTGAAACAGTCTTTATCTATTATTTTTTCAAACTCTATTGTTTATTAAAAATATAAATGTAAGTGTACAAACATTTATCATACACCGTGAAAACGCTAAAATATTCCACTGAACACTGAAAATTATGTGATACTCAAACATATACTTGATGAAGTAATGATGTGCTATGGCAAGTGATTACAAGTACTTTTAGACAACACATATATGATAAAAAATAACTTGAAGAAATTCCACCTGACTAATAAAAAGTAAGTCTGTTAGCTTCTTTACATTAAAGCACCAAAGTGGACATAGTATATTTTTTGTCATAAATAATTTACACAACAATATGATATGTATATTTTCGAGGTGTTAATTTACTTTGAAGAAAGATGTGTACAGTGAAAATTTGTCTTTAATTACACTCTATATCGTATCCAGTGTGTAAAATTAGTGGAGTAACGAGCTTGTTATCACTAAAATTGAATATATATATATATATATCAGATTGCGAAATGCATGTACAATTGTCCACCAATAGATCCAAATAAACCTATGCCAAAATAGGTGATGACTCCATACCAACCAAACCCAAATATCCAGTAAATTGTGATACCATACCATAATAGTGCGGACGGCAGCAGATCTATGAGACGAAACTTTGGAATTTCCAGATAGTCTCTAGACATTTCGCTAGTAAAGCATTCAAGAAAATTCTTTTGAATAATTTGAAAATCAGCTGTCAGGTTTCGCATTCTTCTGTTGAGATTGACACCATGGTCATTCAGCGTGTTGTTTTCGTTCCTGAATATTAACTTTAATTTGTCTTCATGGTGATTGACATGGTTGTTATTCATTTGGCTCTCTGACAGTTTTGAAATACCGTAGAATCGAGTTTGTACATTGTCAATAAAGCTGTGTTAAGAAATGAAAGATACTTTTTGTCAAATCAAATCAAATATTACCAAACGGAATAATGCCGTCAGGAAAAAAACCTGTATTTTTCAGGGTTAAGACACAGCTTCACAGAATGACATGTTACTTACTTTTGTGCTTCCAATGCGTATTTGTACCAACTTAGACACAAAACTGTTAATATCTAGATGTGTGAATTTGTAGGGGCTTGTAGTACATAAGGCCCAGTAAGTATAGCTATTTGGCATACACCGAGCCAAAATAAGCTGTTTTTGAATTTTTCTCTTATTTGCAACTTCGAAACAATCATCACAGGTAAAAGAGTAGGGAAACAAATACAGTAAATAGCCAATAGACGTTGGAGACAGAAGTGTATTACTATGATTAGTAATGTTAGTAGCAGTAGAGGAAATAATAAATGAATGAACTATTCTTAAGCACCTAGAGAAAGTGGGTACACAATTACATGTCACCTCCATATGGTATTCATCACTACCATTCGTATACATCTTTATTTCTGGGGAAAAGTTATGCTTTTTGATGATGGTAACAACTTAATAATAAAAGAGAGCTGTACCGTTATTCAAATGTGAAAATGTAACTGACTTGCTTAAGGATTTAGTTTCCAGCTAAATGGGTTACGAGTTCAGCTGGTTTAAGTCTCATTCTACCTTCCTCATTTTGAGCAGCTGAGTTATTACCAGCAGCCAAGACACGAGAAGTATGATTCTTAACCTGATACAGAAATGAGATGTGTTCTGGATAGCTGAATTCAAACATATATTGAGTTATTAGCATGCATTTTAACCTGGCAAAGCTGCCTTGGAAATGGAATCATGTGACAAACCGCATCGATTATCACATAACTATCTTTTATCTAGTGAGTGTATATAATTTTGGCCTTTTTATTTTTTAAGGGAAACTTCATGCTTAATTACAGTGTCCACAGTTGAATACGTGGATTAAAATAATTACTTCTTGTGTATTTGTAGTCGTAGGACTTTATTCATGTAAATCCTAGAATGTGTCATACGATTAGTTACATTTTCTTCATACATCACTGAATTGTTTCCAGCAAAGAAAAATATTTTCGCTTATTTTTGACAACTGGTATAGTAGTAGATGCATTTTTTCTTGGCAAATTCTATTGCCATAAAAAGTCCAGAGACTAGTGTGATCACTGGATCTTTATTTATCACTGCGTAAACATCTACTAGTACACGTCTGTATTTACTAGAAATTGATTTTAGTAATTAGTTAGCAAAAATCTGTCTGTATGAATGTAACTTATTCAGGCTGCTCAGATATTATACTAGTGTTATTCGCTTATTAGTCTACAGATACTTTCAGTCAAACACATAGATCCATCATAACAGACTGACATGCTATTGCGGTTGCATAATACCTGTTGTAAGTGATAGCAGTGTGACAACTCGCCTCATTCTTGATATGTCTGACTCCGATTCACCCGCTGTATTTACATACACAAATATCTAAACCTGCCTTTCATCCTCCAGGATTCTGATCAGCAAGACTTACACGTGTCTATGCAAAGCAATGTATTTTCTTCTCACATTATTAGTATTCGAAGCCAACATAAAGATATGCTAAAAGTTTAATTCGTAGTATATAATTTTTTCTAAAGTCATTACATAATATTAAAGAACAATAAGGGACTTCGCCTCTTCATTATATGAAGTGGGTCCCGAATTCATCGGTTTCTTGACATTATTATCTATTTAGTGTATTTGAGAAAATTTAACGCTAAAACAAAGTAGTTTCTTTGGTAGATGGTGACTGGTATTGGAATTCAGGATACGAACTTCACTCTACTTGGGACTCGTCACCTGGACGTACTCACTGAGGCCCGAACTCAGTACCCATCATTTCAAACGCCAAAGCACTATCTATTGGACGGCTTGGGCCACTACAGCCACCTCTTATACAACGTGTGTCAGTTATTATTTATCCATCAATCAGGCATATCCGAATGGTGAGTCCCAAATAGGATGAAATACGCATCCTGCATCATACTGCTAGTTCCCACCCACCAAATCTTTTCAAGGAAAGCCTCAGACATCGTCGAGGCGTCCGCACAAAAGGCTGACATGCTAACAGCGGCTGAACACTTTAGTTCAATCAGTCAACAGGAAATTCATTATTGTATTAAAATAGAGTAGCTTCTGTTTATATTTACTGTCTAAATGATTTCTCAACCCAAAAGAACACTTGTTCTTGAGAAAGAAGAAGGTTACTATTGCTCTTCAAAGGATATTTTATACTCTGAATAGACAAAATACTAGATCTTAACAGTTGCCGTTTAATCTGGACAGGTCTGTAGTTAGCAAAAAACAAAGTTTGCTGCACCATCCACCATCTAAATAATACTTCAAAGCGTAAAACATCAGAAGAGTTACTAGATGCTAGAGTGGAATTGCAAGATGCCAGTCTGTTTCCTGTTTGATGATTTCTAGAGGCAGTATCCATGATTTGCATTTCGTTCTATTTGGAACTCATCATGTCAATCTTAAGGTATCGTCAAACCATCTGACAACAGACACCAAGCAGTTAGTTCAAATAAAACCAGTCACAGAGGAATATAAATGATAATTTAACCTAAATTAAGATGTTGTTCTCTTTATTGTGGCTATCGAATTTCACGCGAAAACTAAAGTCTTAGTTTGCGCAACTGAAACCAAAAGGTAATATCAATGCCAATTCAAGTTCCCATTTCATTCAGGAAGTGAATCACTGTTTCGTTGGGGAGTGTGGTGTCACAGAAGACAAAACATCAAAATTCCAATAGCTAAGACTGAGTTAAATCAGATAAAAGATATTAATTTCCATTTCTTATCTTCTGTCAATCATAATACTGAAAAAATAACTGGTTATTTTTTTCATTTCCTTGTGTTTACGCATTCACAATTGGTTAACCCACAAACACAGCATATATCAGTTAATATCAGATCATACTTAAGATTAAGATATATAAAGTATTTATTTTGAACATTATTCAGTTATACTATGTTCTGAATCATAATTCAGATTTACTATTGCAAAGGACACAACTTACTCATCTTTGATCCTGTAACGCTCATAAAGCCATCGCCTAATTGATTCACTGTCTCGTGGAATATCTCTTATTGGTATTCTTTTCAAATATATGTGCAAACTTCTCGGTTTCTTCAACCAATCTAATAACAGGATGTATGCAAAAGAAAAAATATAGGACTCCTTTTTAAACCTTGAGGAAAAATAAAACAATTCACAATGACTAATTATTCAGAATAGGAAAGCAGGTTAAAGATGATAATAGTAATATGGTCTCATCAGTGTCCATCAGGTCACTAACTTGTCGTCTGAGTTGCTTAAGGGGAATTCTCTACCTGTCGAAAACAATCATTAGTTGGCGGCTATTTTCATTAGGAATGAAATCATTCACAGTGATGCAGACACAAACACTTTATATCTGTGTCATCTTTCAGATTCTGAAGACCTGCATCACTCATGAAAACACTTTTCATCATACTCCTGTTTATCTGTTGCAGTATGAATCTGTACTATTTAAATATGCACTTACAAATGCTAAGGTTATTAAACATTACACACTTTAAAAAATGGATATCAGTGATAATGATGAAATACGACACATATATGACCAACATAGAAATTAACCAATTCATATTAGCAAATGTTTGGAGATGGCGCCACAATAAAGAATACCAAAGTCATAGAGTACATGACAGACTTAATTATTTTGAATTTTATTCAAATTAACAAATCAAATCTCGTCCAGAATTCTGAAATAATTGAGAAACCACATTGAAAATGATTTCATTAGGACAGATAGAATAAAGTGAAAATAAATCAGTTAATTCATGAGTTGGTTAGCTCTTTCGAAGTGAATTATTAAAATACTGAGAAAGTATACCAAGCACTGTCAAGCACATATATCATCTTGAATGCAAGACAGTCTAATCTAATTTGTGCAGCTGTCAGTGCACTGAGATTTCATAATATTAAATAACAAAGAAGCAGTGTCACTCACGAATGCCCAATGTCATCTTTTTATCCCACCATACCCTTGGTCTGTTGACTACGATGGTTTCGAGTTTCAGACAGACTTATCTACTTTGAATTTGCATACGTTATCGTTGTTATCGTCCCTCTGCGTTTCAGCTGGAACAAAGACCTACAACAACTCATCTCCACTTTCTCCTATTCTATATGGATCCCTTTAGCTGAATCCACGATTGCTCATAGTCTCTCATCCTCTCCTCACACGGTCTCCTCCACGTCAACCTCAGACCGATGGACGAAACTCGCCGTTTCCCATTCGAGTTCGAGCTGAGTAGTGATCTGGTGTTTGATGTCATTCGACAGTCTCCTCAGCGTGCATCCAATCCATCTCCACATCCCCTGCATATTTATTGAGTCATATGGTTCTTGGCTAGTTGGTTTTCAGAGTTTCCTCTTGTTAGTCTTTTCAGGCCATTTGATCTTCAATATGAAGTGGCGGCACATAGTGATAGGAGTCTGCAGTGACCTGCTTGAAGCGCCTTTCTTGCCTCACCAAGTTTGTGATTGAGAAGAAATGACTGACTTAGCGTTTGTGAAGAAAATTTGGATTTTGTTCATAATGCTGAGTACAAACGGTTTATATACTGATGGTGTGTCTTTCATGTCCTTCCCATTCTGGTCTGTACATCTTCTGTAATTGAAACGACGCTTCCTAGATATTTGAAAGAAGTAACCCGTTTCACATTTATCCCGCTGATGGTGACTGGTGCTTGTTGTTATTGTTTGGCTGTTTTCATCACTTCCATATTCTGTGTGTTCAGTTGAAGTTCTGTAATCGCTGCCTGCCCTTCCGGCAAACTTATTGGTTTTCGCCTGTGACTCTTCAAATTTATGTTACACTAAACACAAATTGTTTGTGAAATCCAGTCCACCACAATTAGGAATATCATTAGTAATAGTAGTCAGACTTGTCCTATTCCTGTTTTAATTTGAAAGGCTTCTCTGAGTTTTCCATTGTGGATCACTTGACATGTAGAATCTTTATAAGGCTTTTGAATTATGTTTATAAAGATCTGGGGTACTGCATAGGACAACTCAGTCATATAACTGAGAAGACATGGGCGAAATTCAATCTTCCGAAAGTCCTGAGCAGAAATCAAAATATTCCAGATACACACTACCTACGTGTCAGATGTACTTCTTACTCTGAATACACAAAATCTCTCTGTTTTGTCTACCAATATTAGTAAACAAAGATTAGATTACCTTTGTTAAGAAAAAATACCAATATTATATAGAAAAACACCTCTAAATGAAAGTTTTGTCAAATAGCACATGACAGGCGGCTACTGGTTAAAAATATGATTAAATGATTTCAGAAATTAGTGTTTTCTTCAGAAAGCCAAAAATACATCTGCATTCATATTTCATAAAGTGATTTGTGATCATTTTAGGAGTTTTGCGAAAATTTCTTTCTTTTTTACATGTAGTAAATTACTTCTTGTTCCCCTAGAATGTAATCTACACTTTGAATACACAGCACAGAATGCTGGCTTTACCAGTAATAAGAGATGATGTGGAAGCTGTTCAATTAATAACTGCAGCAACTATTACCAGGAGGTATGAATAAGGTAGGCTAGTCAATTCTGATGTGAACTGCTGTGGAATATAGGGCGTTAGCATTACAGATTAACAGAGTTATAATACGTTTATTAGTTGCACACATTTAACAAGGTTAGCATTGTCTACTACTTTTACATACCACAAATATGTAGAGGTAATTCAATAGAATATTTTAGCATGTACTGAAATTAAATTTTCACTGTAAGTTATCATTGATAAACATGAAAAAAATGCAACCCACCTGTTAATCCTGGCGCAGGTATGTAATGGTCGTATGGATAACCATCTTCATCTGCGAATACAGTAGTCACATCATATAAAGCATCGAGACAGTCGTGCAAGTGATTCAGTATTAACTGAAAACCTCTTCTTCGCGGGACTAAAACATGTTTGAATGGCTTAATACCTGCTGAAATACAAAGTAAGGAGTAAAACAAATGTTTAAAAAAAGTACAATACACTAAACTTACTTTGTTGAAACAAGGAAACATTATGTGGTGAAGTTAAAGCATCATAGTCAAAACCTAGCTCTTTTAAAATTTGACCTTCAAGGAACAATCAGGTATAGGGAATGCTATGAAAGATCACTTCAAATCAAATCATGCCTGCCTTTCTGGACTAAGGGAAGGCAGATGCAGTATTCCACTTATTCTCTAGGTAATTTTTCTGTAAATCTGTAAATACTGTTAGGTAGGGTTAGATTAAGGTTTAGGATGTAGGGTTAAGGTTAGGATTACAGTTAAATTTAGGCTTAGAAGTTAGGATTATAGTTAGAGTTAGGAGTCAGTTAAAGAACATTATCAGAAATATTAATAGATCTCAAAGTACCATAATCTAGAGTCATCTCTAGATCATCTTTTTTTGACAGGGATACATTCTCACAACACACAAGCGACAGGTATATGGTATAATGTCATGTTTGCAATGTTTTTCAGTACGTCTTTCAACAACTATGCGACTTTGTTTGCATCTGAATTCTGATTGGTCGTTCAAGACTACTGTAGTTTTGGCTGTCATAGTTTGACTTTTCCTACTATGCAGAATACGCTTTCCTGTACCATTTACTCCTGACATATCACTTGTTGTTTCTGCTTTTCTGTACATAAACTTGATAAAATACTCAAGGAGAACAATATGAATGCGACAGGTACAGTCCTGTTAAAGACGCCTTTGATTATATGATCTGCAAACGTTAGTTTTCATGGGATATCCAAACGGCTTCCATAGGTTTCAAAGTATGAAGTACTACATTCCAATCCCAAATAGCAGTCTGATATCTATCAAGATCAACTGGTTTGAAACATCACTCAACTGGTGCCGGAATTCATTCTTAAATTTCCCTATACTAACTGCAATACACATCGCTATGTGAACAGATAATCAGATAATTAAAGCAATGCTCGAGGATCAGAATTTTAAATAAAAATAAGCATATGAGTGAAGGAAGGGAGAGAAAAGTACAAAAGATAGTTGAAAAACAATATAAACTATGTGCAAATAAGAGAGGAGCTAGAAGAATAATTACAGCGTTTTGAATATATGAATGCACCATTGGTATCTGAATAGATTTTGTGGTTCGTAAGGTCATTTCAAAGATACAAAATCCTACCTTGTCTGTCATAATGCTATTTGTCTTCTGTCTGAAACACTGCATAAACAACAGAACTTCACAAATTTCTTCAAGAATATACCAGAAAGGTTCTGGAGAAAATATACAGTGGGAAAAAGTTACGACAGACAGAAGATATCTAAAGCGATAAATGACAATTCCTGAGTAAACTAAAGAAATATACTTCCAGTTTATCGACCGTTGTACTGTTTATATGTAAATTTAAAACACTATCCGGAATTTCATCCTGAATATTAGGAAACCTGGTATCGAAGCCTCGCATTTCAAACTTATCTGTTAGTGGTTATCAACAGTTTTTTTAAGCTTTTAAACAACAGAGTAAATGATTGTTTTTCATTGAACAATGATGAGAAAATCAGGCTAATGCAATCTTAATAAGGAACAGGTATTCTACTGAGAAACTGTAGTGAATAAATGAATAAAATGATAACACTTTTATCCGATAAAACAAGATTTACACAACAATAAAAAAGATGAAAGAGAAGGAACACAATCTAATATTCATTCTTCGAAAAGGTAAGACTGGTTCTCTCCAAGTTGTATAAAGAACCCCTGAAAGTGAACAGAGGAGATAAGCCTTTTTCGTCAGATCATATGAAATTGTTAAATAGTTTGACAAACTTTTTAAACCCATTAGAAAGTACACACCTTTAATTTCGCTTAGTGATTCTCATTACTTTTTATGTAGCTTGCTCTGATGAAATCAGTTAACAGTGGACGTGATCTTTTCATTCATTGACGCTAAACTGACCTATAGAATGTCATTTATACAAAGGTATTCATTCCAACAGATTGCATACCTGCATTTCCAACACATAATCTAAAACAGCCTTCATTGAGACGTATCTTGAATGTACAACTCTCCCTAAGTAATGAAAATTAAGGACAAAAGAATAAATGGTTCACTGCTAGGCTTTCTTCTAGCAAGTGTTTTCAATGCGAAGTTTGAAAACACACAGTCGGGTGGGGGGGGGTATTAACCCCTTTAAATTTTCCAAGAGGTAGGTAATTAATCCTTTTATGGTATTTAATGAGGCAAATGATTTATACGCTCTGTTTCTTTCAGCCATGAAACTCAGATCATTTGTACGACTTACAAGTAATAAGACGTAGTCAGGGGATCCTGCGTCGGTGGCACAGTGGTTAGGACTCTCGTCGACCATGTACATGGTCCGGGGTTCGAGCCCACGCCGGCGCACACCTGATATCTATGGTCGGCCTGCAAAATTTGGGCTACCGATATCCATGCTGAAAATTCCATACTTGTACCAAAAATACAGTGTGGAATCAAGCTGTAAATATAAAAAAAAAATAAAAAAAGTCCATAGGTCCACAGAAAACCTATTTAGAAGGAACGAATTAGTAATTTCAGTGGTTGGTTGCGTCTAAATATGGAATGAATTTGCCCACTATCCTCCGTCACTTAATCAGTTTAACCGTAAAGATAATAAAGTTAATATGATATACACTCCTAATTATCGAAAATTTCCCTTCTTGAATTTAGGTTTCACCGGACACATTTTAGAAACTGTTTATTTTCTTTATCAAGAAAGATTTTACTTTTAACTAAGATCTGGGTCACTTTCTCTACAAAAGGAATAATTTGAAAATATCACAAAATCGATTTAAAAAGTAGCCTCAGTGGTTCAAGTAGTAATTTGACTGGAAACTGGTTAGTAACTGGTATCATACGTCTGGTCCCTTGTCTGACGCAGGCTGAATTCTATCAGTCAAGTTTGCGATGTTAACACCATGCTAGGTGACTCGCCGTCATGGTTCCCTCTGAGTTGTCGTTATTAAATGGTTGGAGGTAATCGTCTACAAGCCTTCAACCGAAGTTTCGTGCTTGTTGGCAATTATCAGTCAGTCATGTCTTATCTGAGACTCAGAGCCGTGTTTTCCATTGCTGCAGTCAAAGACGTGACCACCGAGCTATTCGGCCTCCAACCGACCTGCTCTAGAACTGTATTGGAAACTTTGATTAGGCACTTGTTATTAAATAGCATCATGCGTGTATTCCTTGGTTTTGGTGCACTTTGGTAGAATTCAACCTACGAGCCTGAATAGCTCAGCGGCAACTCCTCTGACTGCAGCACTGGGTGACACCGGTTTTTATTTATGGATGGACACGGGTTACTTCAAGGTTGCAGATACGCTCCTCTGGCTGGTGACTGCCAGCAAGCACGAAATCTAGTTCCTAGGCTTGCTGTCGACTGCCCCTAAACATCTAATAACAATAGTTCATAGTAATGATTTTTCGAAATGTATAAAAATAATTTATTTTCAATTCTTGAGCCTTAATCATTCATTTAATTTGTGTAACACCACCTAACCCAACTGGCATACCTTGACTTCTTTTTAGCTCATCACAAAACCAAATTACTTTTACTAAAAGTAATTTCTTTGGAACCTCCTTGACTTTAATCGAGACTAAATTTTAGGATATCCTTAGAAATATTCATCTTTCAACTAGTAAACTCAAAGTATAGATGTATTTGCATTTAACTGGAGAAAGAGTCAGTGAAAAGTGTCTTCTTCTAATGAATACCATTTCTTTTCGGTGACTTAATGGAGATTTTCCAACTGACAGACTAGTTCGTGAATAAAACATTTTCATTGACTGTGAGTGAAGTGGATCTTTTTAAGCACTGTTAAATAACCTGCTCTCGGGGGAAATAAATCACTTATCTAGGCAAATAAAAATTTTTATATTAAATAGCTTAAATTTCAATAAAGTGCAAATGAGCTATTAAATTTTTTAAAGTCAAAAAATAGTAAAGGACAGCTAACTTTTCTTAATTGAAAGCAATGCTGCTCACAGTAATAATAATAGTACTTATCTATTTTACTTAATCCTGGAAAATCTAAGGGTAGTTGTACAATTGTAGTTGATGGCCAGCAGTGAAATCTGGAACATACGTTTCGTCTTATTTGGGACTCATCGGTCGTATGTGCCCTCACCTCCAGTGAGTGATAATGCTTCCGTTGAGACACGAACTCAACATTTGTTCAATTCACCGTCAGTTACTGCCTGTAGAGGTGCTTCCAAACGACGGGTCCCAGATGAGAGGAAACAGTATATTTTATCTAACACACTTTATATCATACACGATAACAGTACTAAAGAAATTTGTTTTGTTTATGTTTGAAACAATTTTTAATTCCTTTGCATTCCGTATGGAACATAGAGCTCCAAGCATTTTAGGCATTAGAGGCTTAGTAGCTGTGATGTTTTGCTTTTTTACGGGGTGAAGTTGCTAGTCCCCTGCGTAATCATCCACTATACTGAGCTTTATACTGGCTAAGTGAGGTTTAGTGTGGCACACGGGAACTCAACCGCACACTGCGTATGTGGCTAGATAGTATTCTACCACTAAACCGACAACACACACCATTTCAAACATAATTACAGACAGAAACATTTTGAAAAAACAACAACAGATTAAGCGAATGAATACAACCATTTTCAATTAGATACTCATCATTGGCTAGCTGTACATTAATACATAGTTTTTACATCAAAATATTTTACCAATCAAGTGGTCATTTTAGTTAGTCAGTTTTATCTATACATGAGGTGAAATTAAGAAGTTAAAGGTCACCAAAAATAATCACTAATAGGTGTTAGTAACAAAATGTCTAAGTTCTAAAAGAGGGGACAAGGATAATTATGGAATTCGAAATAAGCTGATGCTTAGGCGTTGGGAACCAGCTTATTACATAATCAAGAAATTTTTAAAATAGTAATGATGACTAAGAAGAATAGCATGACACAGACG